TGGACGCTAAAGTCATGTTACGAACTGGTGAGTACTGTTAAGCCCTATATTTATTCAGTAAGTTTTGTAAAGTTGGCGATTGCAATATTTAAACCTCTATGTCCTTCCATAAAGGACGGCAGAAGTGGGTTCTTTTTTGTTATTACTGCTTTTAGTTGCGGACAAGAGTTTGATCATGCTTTTCTCTATGTATACACCTTTTGCTGTACGATATAGCTTAGCCAAACGGCGAACATCATAAAGATGAAACATTCCATTAGCCTCCTCTTTTTTCTAGAAATACAAAAGGTCCAGGTTTAATTCGAATCTACTTTTAGCTTCTAGTTTCCCGCAGCTAGTATTCGGTTATTTTGTTCTCTACAGCTGTTATTTGATTATTTCACAAGATAAGCCTCACTGTTATGCGAATTCTACTTCTTACATTGAATTCGTTTTCTTCCGTCACCCACAAACGTCTTTGGATTTTCACGGTAGTTCGACATGTGGATAAGGGCCTAGATCTTCTCAATGCCACACGGTACTGATGAATTCGAATCGGTTTAGAATGCAGGGATGGCGTACTAGCGCGTTCTGAAGTATTTGTCACAGGCAGTCATCGGATTTTTGTCAATTGAGGGGTCGGTGCAGGAGATCCATAGCTGTGATTTAATTGGGTTTTATTCGTTTCATCTAGTCATTTATACCGTACACGATTAATCGTCAAGGGATTGGTTACAGCAAATATAGCTGGACGTGCCCACTGAGGCACTGTGATCGAATGAAATGATCGGTAAAGCCAGTAGGACACAAAGCTTTTGGAAAAAAATGAAAATGAAGACGAGATTACCGAGGTCAGGCTGAGATGAATATGACTTCATTTTAACGAAATCCTCGGATATCCTTGCCAGTGTACTGTTCGGTACTTCTTTACATGCTTTCTTCAGTTCCTTTGCAATACATTTACAGTAGAAATAAACAAGGAGAAAAATCATTACGTCATCCATGATTCTGCGGAAAAAATTCATATGTTACTCTTAGTGATTAGAGGACCATCGAATTTTACAACATGATCTGCATATTCATAGTAGCTGAAAATATGGAAGAAAATGAAATAGAGCCTACAAAAATCATCTTCTTATATATGTGAGAATTTTTGACGATTAAGGGATTAACCGCACAGCTTAAATGATTTCGTGGGTTAAGTGAAAATTTTGAAACAACTACTACTGATTCAATCTATAACTCAGTGATTTCGCTAAGGATTATACTCTATGATGGAACTTGAAGTCGTGGTAAAGTACGAAACTTATATTTATAATAAGCTTTACTGCAGACGAAATCTCAAATTACAGTAACTCGTTTAAGGTCCAATCATCACACAACATCCTGAGTCGCAAACGATAATCGACGAGAAAGAAACGGCGATCTTCGAGTGCAGGTTTAAGTATGCCACTGAAAATGTGAAGTGGTACCGTGATGAACGTGAACTGTGGACGCAATTAAATAAATACCAGATCGTGACCAATGATGAAATCACCATACTTACCATTCTTTCCGTAGACCACCATGATATTGGACGTTACTACGTAGTGGCAAACGATGAAGAGAAATCCGAGGAAGCATTGTTAATTTACAAAGTTCCTCCGAAACTAATCTACAAGGGTCCAACTGGTCCCATTGTAGCAGGAAAACATTTTGACTTCGAGGTCAAATTTTCTGGATATCCAACACCTCAGCTGAAAGTGCTTCTTGATGGTGAAGATATAAAAATGCACGGTACCGTTGAGACCTACGATGACTTTATTTCGGTTAGAGTTAAGCGTGTAAAGAAAAGCGGTACGATAAATATCACTGCTGTGAACGAAAACGGCGAGGAATCGGTGGATATTTCAATGGAAGTGCTTGACGTGCCATCAGCGCCAACTGACGCAAGAGCCAAGGATATAGGCTCAACAAAAGCGACGATCTCGTGGAAGAAACCTGAATTTTCCAACGGTTCTGAGATCACAGAGTACTGTGTGGAACGGAAATCAGTGGACTACTCACGATGGAGGGTAGTTGGGCGAGTGCCTGCCAACAGTCTCTCATTTATTGCCCACGGCCTATTCTCCAACGATCTGTATACATTCCGTGTGAGCGCAGTGAATGCTATAGGACAAGGGAAGCCCAGCAATACAGTTGACGTTGAAACGATAGAAGAAAATGAAGGTAATGTTCTTAAACCTTTATTCTTGCTCTTGCTAGTTTCTCAAGACAATAGCTAGGCAATCTTTTGAATGGGAAACTAAACAATCTTTGGCTCCTTGATAAATAATTCTTCTTTATCTAATGTAAAACAAGTGAGTTACGTCTTCCACAATTAAGTTTTAAACAGATAACTCTTGAATGAGTTAACATCATATGATAGAAATGAGCAGTTGAGACCACTTAAGGAATTTGGGAGATAATGTGGTATATGCTTGTGCCGCCAAGTTTCATAACATGGCATTCATTTTCGTTAGCAACATATAACATCATCTACAGCTACATGCTGCCTCGATTCTACTGGATCTAAAGAATTTAAAGAACATAGTTACTGCTTCTAAATAGATTCATAAAGTCAGTGATTACACATTACGTGTAGAGATCTTGTTTCTCTGTCTACGGTATTTTTTAACAGCATTAGTATTCAGTGATGAGTAACTAAAATTGGATTATAACGGATATAAATATTCTTATAATAAGTTATGCAGCATGAATCTCGTACTAAATCAAAGCACATATGATCTACTTATTAAAACGGTGTTTCGTTTGAACACTACGACCGTATTTTGTAAATCTATAGGTTAGACGCTGTTGAAAACAACTAGATAACTGTTCATGCTAATACAGTGCACAGAAAACAGAAATTTATTTAAGAACTGACTTTCCTTTAACTTCGGCATCACTAATCAACATGTATTCTTTCTTTGACAAGCTTACACGAGGTTGGTAAACAATGTTTATTATCGGCTAACGTTTCGATGGTTTCGTCTTCATCAGAGCCGATAAACTAAGTCGATGAACTAAGTCCACAACTGGATCTCTGTTGGTCCAGAGCCGATGATCCGAGTCGATGATTCGCAGCTGTATCACTGATGAAGATAAAACCGTCGAAACGTAAGCCGAAAGTAAACATCATTTACCTACCTTGTGTAAGCTTATCAAAGAAAGAATACAGAAATCTATGTCTGTATCGTTTTGTTTCAAAGATATCCTGTAGATTCCGTAGATTAACATCACTTATAATATGTCAAATAATCATAATAGCTTAAATTCCGTAACATATATAGATTGTATACATCGGACGTACGAATGAGAAAAGTTGGAAGATTTCGTGGAACAAACAACACTTCAAAAAATTATCGTTTCAGCAGAAGACTACATCGAACACACCGATGAGGTCAGTGCAACTAGAGATGTTGATGAGAATGGAGAACTACCTGAAGAAATGGAAGAGGTGAGAACCACAGGTTGTACCTTCCCTAGTATATTTACAAAATGAGAATATCAGTGCATAGTCGAAGCTGACAGGAAAGTAATTATTAAAATGTATTCAGGAGTTCATCGTAACTGCTGTATTACCAAAGAAGACATCTACCTTGGAAGATACAGAAGCATTTGAAGAAATTACTCTGAAAACACCACGGCAAGAAGTGGATGATAAGCTGAAGGAAAAGCCTAAGGAAAAAGCTGAAATTGTAAAAGAGTTGAAGAAGGATGAAGATCTGAGAGAAGAGGTAGAGCAAGAGAAGGAAACGGAAGAAAAACCCAAGAAGAAAGTCAAGCCAAAAGAAGCGGCTTCTCCTAAAGAAAAAGCAGAAAGAAAAGAAGAAAAGGCACAGGAAGACAAGCTTAAAAAAGAAGTGGAACCAAGGGAGAAATCAAAGACTGGAGAGGAATTGAAACAGGAAGAGAGGGATATATCAAAGCAGAAGGTCGAAAAAGATAAAAAGAAAGAGAAGAAGGTAATGAAACAGGAGGAAAGGATTACGGCTACAGAGGAACATAAAGTTGAATCAAAAGTAGAGTCCAAAGAGAGTCAGAAATTCGAGGAAGAGGTTAAAAAAGAGGTGAAACCGGATGAGAGGACGAGTAAAGAAGAGGAATTAAAACCAGAAGAAAAGCTTGAACTAAAGAAAGTAAGAAAGAGCAAAGAAGGAATTAAGAAAAAAGTGACCATGGAAGAAAAAGCGATTCCAAAGGAAGATCATAAGCAAGAAGAAGTAGTTGAGATGAAGGAGGAGCAGAAGGGAAGTGAGCAGGCTATGCAAGAGATGAGACCGGAAAAAAAAGAAGAGTCTGAAGAAGGACAAAAACCGGAAGGAATGGTTGAGTCTACGAAGAAAATTACGAAAGACAAGGTCGGAAAGAAGAAAGCTCCAAAAGAACTCATCATTCCAGATGAGATCAGTACTCGATTCGGAGAGCCAAGCATTCTTCATTCTGAGACAGAAATAACAACGAAAATCACAGCAGTAGAAGGAAACGCTGAAGTGACCTCACCAATCAAACAACCACAATCAGCAAGTATTTCTATGAAAGTGGAAAGCGCCAGTGAAGCCCTCTCCAAGGCTGAACAATCGGAAGACGATGTTTTCGAATTTACATTTAGGAAGAAATCGGAAGATTTGGATGGTGTGAATGAGAAGATGTCGATTAAGCTAAGAAATGAGGAACAAGAAAGAGCAATAAAGGTGGAACAAGAGGAGAAGAAACACACTGAGGATACAGTTGTCACTGAAAAAACTTCTACTAAGAAGAAAAAAAAGAAGGTGGTGCAGAAGGAAGGAAAAGAACAAAAGGGTACCCCTGAGCAGAACGGTGCTATAGAGAGAAAGGATGTGGAAATCAAAGGCATAGAAGAAACAGAAGTTGTGAAAATTCCTAGTCAAAAAGATGAGCCAGTGACTAGAACGTCTGGTGACATGCTTGATGATGAAAGAAAGTCTTCAATAACGGAAACTAAAGAACAGTTACCAGAAGTTATTCCACTCCGTCGAATGTCTGCGAAGTCGGAGGAAGTAATCACTGAAGTTTTAAACGCGACATCAGGAGAAAGAACCCCACAAATTGGAGACGTCCTGAGCAATCTAAGCTCTCGACGATCTTCTGGTGCTTCGGGAATCGGCAGTTATTCCATATCTCGGAGAAAAATGAGAAAAAGTGGATTTGTTTCAGCTCCTGGACCCGAAATGTTCGCACTTAGAGGTGACACTATTCGCTTTGAATGCGAACTAGTAAACGAGGATGACGAAGTTGAGTGGCTCATCAACGATAAGCCGTACGCTGCAGAACCACGAAGCTTGGAAGAAGCCGATGGGCCATTCAGGCGTCTTACAATAAGGGATCTAACTCCGGAGGATACCGGAATGATTGTAGAAGTCCGCCTCAATGAAAATGTGGTGACATCAAAACTTGTCGTTGAAGAGATTTTGGCTGAAATAACGAAGCGTTTAGACTATAAGTCTACTGGCGAAGAAGGGAAACCTGTAACCCTTACAATTGCATTGGACCATCCGGCTAAAGAAGTGAAATGGTACAAAGACAATGAAGAGATTACGGAGTCGTTGAAGTACGACATCGATGTAAAGAATAATTTCTGTCATTTGACCATAAAGAAAGTTGACCATGAAGACGCTGGGCAATATACGGTCATCGCCGATGGCTCTAAAAGTTATACGAACCTTCGAATATTGGGCAAACCAAGAATCAAAACTACCGAACATGAGCTTGTAGAAGTAGAAAGAAATGAAAACATCATGTTAAACGCCTCCTTCGACTGCCAAGAAGAACCGACAGCCATGTGCCTTTTCAACGGTGAAGTGTTGCACGAAGATGCGAAGACGCATCTCGAGGTCCATCAAAATACGGTGAAGTTTTGTAAACGAAATGCTACAAAGGCTGACTCTGGTGAATATACCATAAAACTATCTAACGAATTCGGAGAAGACTTGGAGACATTCAACGTTAAAGTGAAAGGTCCGTTACAGATGCTTTTAATAAACGTCATTTTTCAATGAGCGGCGTTTCATTTAGATGTCCCCGGAGCCCCTTGCAGCATTTCTGTGAATGAAGTTGGCAGTGATACTATTTCGATCAGATGGGAGAAATCTACAGACGACGGTGGAGCACCAATAACTGGTTACATCATTGAGAAAAAGGAGGACGGTCGGAGAGCCTTCCACAAGGTTGCTCAGGTAAGAGAACAGTGTAGGAAAAAGGAATTAAAAAGTGCCTCGAAAATTGGAAGCCTATTGTTAGAGTGGTATTCGACGAATACGTTCGTTCATTTTTTAATAATTTAAGGTCTCCGGTTCGAAGACATCTTACGTTGTTGAGGAACTCGAAAATGCTACCAGTTATGTGCTGAGAGTCTCTGCTGTAAACAAATATGGGCCTGGAGAACCCATCGAAACTCCTGTTGTGAGTCAACCTTGATTTTTCTCTATTATTTCCTCAGTTTCTGAACCACACAAGAAATATGGAAAACTATTTCTGGACTATAGTTTCTCTTTCTCACATGTGTCTTGTAGGTAACAACTGCAACACCTTTCATGGCTCCACAAATCACGAAACCGCCCACTATTACTAACATCACCGACGACGGTTGCGTGTTAACATGGCAGAAACCGTTAGAAGATGGTGGATCTCCCATTTACGGATACGACGTCTACCGCCGTGAAGACGATGGTGAATGGATGAAGGTAAATACAAGCATTTATCGGACAAAAAGAACATGAGAATAGAACTTCTTGACGGCGAATGTCTCATTGTCTACCTGAAGATTAATGGGGTACTTCATGAAGAGTAATTTGTTATATGAAACAATTTAACCTATATTTCTTCACAAACATCTGAAGTTATTGTTGAATAAGAGCTTAAGCAACTGACCACTGGAATTCGGCAATAATGTATGAGTCATGCTGTGGCATGAGACAATCTGCCTCTAAACTTCTAATGCGTCCAATTTAAAGTTTGAGTGTTAAAGTTTAAAATCATTGAAGGTGTACTACTTTTGTTACATGAGAACATATTCAACGTCTAATACATTACAGATAAGCGAAGATCTTGTCTTTGTCGAACGTTACGTCATTACCGGCCTTCTTCCCAGTGTCAATTATGAATTCAAGATCGAAGCCTGCAACGAAGCTGGCCTTACGTCAAATTCGAATCTCCCATCGGAAACGTTGATGATTACGCCCACTCTAGGTTTGTCATAATTCTTTTCGCTGTTTGAACAACAAACTCACTTTAATACTCACTTAAAGTAAGCATACATTGAACGTTACTTCATTAAAACCATTACCAGTGAAACACGAGCGATATGGATTTATCTCTGTATCCACCACAACTCGTTTTGAATTGTCACTGCTCTGAATTGAGTAGCCGAACTTTCACATAAACAATAGGGTTTTTTAAAAATAACATACAGAGACGCAGAGGTGAAACAAAGGACCCGCATGGTGTGGTGCTGAACGCGTTACTCCCCGGAAAGGACAATAGCGCGTTCGCTCCCCAGACCCCTGTGGTCCGGAGTTTTGCAAATATCTCAGCATCATTGAAGTAACATTTCGTGATATATACCCTGCCAATAAAAAGAGTAGGCAGTAAATAAAACGGTTAAGATTGTGATTACAGCATACAGAGTTTAAAACGTACAGAAATAACATATGGAATTACGAGTAACGCTAACAGTTAAAATTTGAGGAAAAAAAACGGAATGGTAACCTTTTTATTGCATTAATAGTGCAAAACGGTGATCAAGCGACACTGAGGTCGAGGACCAACAGTAAATAACGAAGTTTCCTATTCTTTCCTTGGATAGCGCTCTTACTACGGCGCTTAAAAAGTGCGGATGTTTACAAGTATTGCGAAATCGACGTGTCAACGCATCACAGAACATTAGACATTTTATATATATATATACATATGTGTATATACACATATATATACACATGTATATACGGGGCGCGTGCGGCGTCGTGATCGGAGGCGCCCTGCAATACACCTGGGATCGATTCTCGTGCCCATGACTAACCAAACTTTCAATCCCTCCAGGGTTGGCAAATTGTACCAGACTTGTCTGGAAGGATAGCAGCACTGGCTCGATACATTGGTAGGCCACCGCGAGTCATTGTAAAGGCCAAATATGCATTCAATCACCCTTATTGAATTGATGCTTAAGGAAGTCGAATGCATGGCGCATCCCTAAAGGGTTGGTCAACGCCGACAGCTTTATCCTTTACCCTTTTGCACAAATGTATATATATATATGTACATATATATATATATGTATATATATATATATATATATATATATATATATACGAAGAACTGGCGTGAACATGGTGCAAAAATGATGTAACAAAGGTTAAACAAAACGTAGTATTAAGCCAGAAGTTACGCCATAGATAAATGAAGTAGACATTCTAGAATGATGTATATATATGAAAACATAGGGATTACTATGTTAACTTTTTTTAGTTCCCGCCCACTATAACTTTTCAAGGTAGGGTATTATGTGAAAGACAACCTCAAAGATGCTGAGGTGTTTGCAAAACTCCAGATCGCAGATGTCTGCGGTGGGGATCGAACGCGCTATTGCCCTTTCTGGGGGCTGACGCGTTCACCACCACACCATGCAAGTCCTTCGTTTCGCCTTTCTCTCAGCTAGTTTCTATAGTAATTACTATTCATGAGGTAGAATAATTTCTAGATTATCATTAGAAAGGAAAAGTACTATGGAAGAAAATCATGTTTGATATTAATAGACACAGGTTTTGGGTACAAGGATATCGCACAAATAGCAAATGTGTACAACGAATTCTTTGCTATCAGATCTATTAAATTTTATCAGGTCGACCAGCCACAATCCCATCTATTCCACATATCACCATCACCAGCACTGATAGTGTCAGTTTGGAATGGGACATCCCCGAAGAGGAGACGTCTACCGAATACACAGTGTCCTATAAATCCGAAAAGTCATCGATTTGGACTGAAGTGAGCGATACGCTGTCGACTTTAGCTTTTTAGAATAAAATGTAAACCAATGGTCTAATACAAAGTCAATCGTAGGTGAACTGCTCTGCTAATTCCTGTTCTATTGATGGTCTCAAGGAAGGTGTCACTTATGTGTTCAAAGTTGCTGCGAGAAACGAGGCTGGTCTTGGAGTATTCTCAGATGAAACGCCTCCAATCAAACTTATTCGTAAGTATTTAATCGTTTAACTTCTTTACGACTTTCTAGTTTTCTTTTGTGTTACAAGAAGATTTTAAAAATTTAGCCAACGTTCCACCGGTCATTACAAAACCGATCAAAGATGCCACTGTTCCGAAAAAGCGTACGCTAAAACTTGAATGTCACGCTAATGCTGAACCAGCACCGGAGTACATATGGTATAAGGACGGGAAGGAGATCATTCCACAGAATGTCAACACTGAGGTGATCTTTTTGTGTTCATTGAAAACGTTGAGTGTTCTTTGGCAAATAGCTGACGACTTTGCTGAGAACAATATTTTTTGCTTTCTTATTAGGCCTACGGACGCTTGCTTGCCCATCCCGCATTACTTAGTATAAGGAAAGAACAGTGTTCAAGCAACATTCCTTATTCTAGATTGTGACGCCTGCAAATATGGTAAGGAAGTAACTGAGAGTTAAAAAGAATCATGCATGGGTTACTGCAGAGAGATTTTTCATAGATTACTAACAGATTACGAGATCAGGAGATCAGGAGACCAGGAGACCAGGAGATCACGAAACCCCTATATCAGTGCAAGAAAAAACAGTACTTCTGCAGAATAAAAAAAGGATAGAGCTCTCGGCGTTGATCACCCTGAAGGATGCGCCATGCATTCGATTTCATTAAGTATCGTTGGAGGTGTTCGAATGCATATCTGGCCTTTACAATGACTCGCAGTGGCCTACCGATGTATCGAGCCAGCGCTGCTATCCTCCCAGACAAGTCTGGTACTAGTTTGCCGACTCCGGAGGAAAGGCGGTTCCAACCGCTGCCCCACACGCGCTTTTTTCTGCAGAATGCAATCTGTAAATGTCAATTTCAGATTGTTAACGAGGGATACATGGGCGTGCTTATTATACACAGTGTTGATTATTGCGACACTGGTTCATACACTTGCGAGGTCGTAAACGAACATGGAGTCATGAAATCGACGGCTAATGTGAACGTGACAGGTATTATTCCTATCACCATCACTGAAACTACCACTTGTTGTTTTTGATACTCTACTTTTTTAGCGCTTTCTCCAGTGTAGATAGACAGTCTCACGAAAATTCACACAAAAGACAAAATGTTTTTTTAAGATGTGCACTGTCATTTCGAGTCGTCTTTCTCGGAGTACACTGAAGTTATCGAAGGTAAAGACATTGAACTCTGCTGCATTCTTTCTGACGAGGACGGTGTAGTCTCTTGGTACAAGGATGGCAAGATACTGAGTAATAACGACCGTATTGGAATTGTGGTTGACGGTAATAGGCGAGTCCTGAAAATTACTTCTGTCAATAACACTGACAGCGGCACTTATCGTTGTGAGACTTCCGATGGACGAGGCAGAACTGAAGGAGAATTGCTAGTAAACGGTAATGCTCTCGTCATTTCAATAAGGTTTTTCTTGGATCAAATTTACTAAACCACCTGATTTTCAGAAGAAGAACCACACATCAGCATCGGCCCACAGGATGACGTCATTAAGCACTTCGGATCCGAAATTATTCTCAAGTGTGAGCTCACAAAACCGCCACATAAAGTGCTTTGGTATAAGAACGGGAAGGAAATCTGGCCGCAAACCAACAAATATACAATAAATACTGAGGGATGCATATCGTTGCTCAAAATCCAGAATTTCGACGGGAACGACGTCGGTGAATACTATGCTGTTCTGAGTCAGAACGAGGTCTCTGCACCAGCGCATCTACGCTTAAAAGTGGTCCCGGAAATAAGAATTCAAGAACAATTAAGTGATGAAGTGATTCTGAATGCACATAGTGAACTTGCCTTCCACGTCGAGGTTTCTGCGTTCCCTGTTCCCAGTGTCACCATTTTGCACAATGAATCACGAATGCAAAACCGAGCCTTAGTGGAAGAATACGATGACATCGTTAGTGTTCGTATGAAAAATCTAACCCGTGAAGACTGTGGAGTGCTGAGGATAATTGTGGAGAACGACGCCGGAGTCTCCCAGAAAGACATTCGTCTTACCGTTCTAGATGTCCCATCTGAACCTACGAATTTAAGAGCCAGAAACACTACTACGAATTCGACAATTCTTTCATGGAGCTACCCCGAGAATACCAACGGTGCGCCAGTAACAGAGTTCATCGTAGAAAGGAAAGCGGTTGACAGCAATAGATGGCGTTCAATCGGCAGGACGAACGCCAACACTCTCACTTTCGCAGCGGGCGACCTGCTTAACAAACAGGCTTACGGATTCCGAGTGTGTGCTGTAAATTCAGTTGGAGAGGGACCACCTAGTCACCCAGTTGACGTGCTGACCTTCGATGACGAATGGAAGGAAGAATTTATAGAAGACCTGCCGGCCATTACACCTGTTCTGGACGTTCCTGATTTCTCAGTGGTAGATTATGAGGAAGGCAAAGTGGCTCAAGTGTTTGTTGGCCAGGAAAATGGTTTTATGCCAATGAGCGATGAAAGCACGGATTCTGTTAAGATAACCAGCACTCCATCTGTTTTCAATGGAGCTGATATCTCAGGAGCAGAAAATGGCGAAATCAACAAGGCTCACTCGGTTGTTGGTGCTGAGAATGGTTTCATTCCAAATGAGGAAAGCGCAGAATCTGGTAAGATAGTCGAATCTGCCATTTTCGTAGAAGCAATACCGGTCGAAAAGAAAGTGAGTGAGAAAAAAGGACCAAAGAAAAGCATGCAAAAAAAGAAAGATAAGAGCACTCTCGAAGAAACCAAGGTCGAAGGAAAAGAGGAACAAGAGATTACTGTGCAGGAGAAGTCTGAGGACGAAAACTCGTTAAAGGAAAAAACAAAAGATACCCATAAACAACCTGGAATTATTGAAGAAAAGAAGAGAGACAGTGATTCGTTGTCCACTGATGGTGCACAACCACAAGTCCGAGGTAAAGTCGAAATTAAAGACGACATTGAATTGAAAAAGGTGGCTCTGGTCCTAAAGCCGAAATCCGAATTAGTGGAGTTGATGTTTGGTCAAAGCGGAGAGCTTATGGTCAGTTCATCAGTAGAGGCGCAGTTTAACTGGACAAAGGAAGGTAGATCACTGGATGAAGGTTTTGTTGTGGGAGGCACGAAAACTCAAACTATCGTACAAATCCCTTCGGTTACGTTTGATACTGCCGGTGTATACAAATGCGTCGCTACTGATACGCTTGGTAATACGGCGACAACAGATATTACTGCAAGCGTACGTGGTAAGTGCGTGAATCCCTCTTTACTGGAAATGCATTGAAGAAAATCGAACTTTTAAGGCAAGCCTATCGTGGAGCTGGAAACGCCTTTGGTAGAGGTCAAAACTGGCGAAAGCGCAAAGTTTTTTGCCAATGTTCGAGGAACATCAGAAGTGAAATGTATATGGAAGAAGGATGAAGAACTTATCAAGGTGGCATTGATTGGATGTTCTTTTCATGACATCTGATAAAAACTTCTTTAAGAAACTATACAAGAAAAAAGAAAGTACACAGAGATTTTTTTTCTAAAGTTGTTTGCATATCTGGCAAAGAAACAGCGTAAGCGAAGAACAGAAGAAATAAGTAATTAGGGGTAAACAAGGATAAAGGATCAAGGTCTCGGCGTTGATCAATCTCTGAGGGATGCGCCATTCATTCTATTTCATTAAGCATCTTTGGAACGAGATTGAATGCATATCTGGCCTTAACAAAGACTCGCGGTGGCCTACCGATGTATTGAGTCAGTGCTACTATCCTCCCAGACAAGTCTGGCCGACCATAGAGGGATGGAGGGCTTGGTGGGCCATGAGCGCGAGGATTGATTCCACGTATGTGTTGCAGGGCGCCTCCGACCACTGCGCCACACGCACTCTTTAGGGTACGGGCGTAAAATTAGAAGAGTGCATGGAGGAATCAATTATGCACGATGTTAGCTAAGACTAGATAACGAATTAAGGGCAAAAATTAAAGTAAACTTTTCGTCATGTCGAGCTTTCGATGGTAGTATATACTTCTATAGTCATTCCCTGAAAGAAAAGAGTGAAATTTTGTTTTGAAAAAAAATCTTGCAACATGTCCACGACTTCGAAAATGTACAGTTTCTTTTCCAGACGAGCAAAAACATAAGCACGTCGTACAGGGACGGAATAGCTCAGTTGAATATCAAAGAGGTGGACGCATCAAGCAATGGTGTTTACACTCTTGTGGCTACGAATAAAGACGGAGAAGATGTTGCTAATGTCAAACTCGTTGTTAAATGTTTGTTATGGGGTGCTATGTTGTTTTCGAAGGTAATTTCTCTATATCTATCTCTTCCTAGTGCTATATCATTGCAGCTATTCCCGACGCACCTCAAGCTCCACTTGATGTGACTGTTGTCGGAAGTGCATGTTCACTTTTGTGGAAGCCTCCACTAAACGATGGAAACTGTCCTGTTCTTGGTTATTACACTGAGAAATATGACGAGAAAACGAAGAAGTGGACGTTTGTGGCGCGATCAACTAACACAAACTGTAAGACAAGTCAGTATCACTGGTCATTGTACATCATTCTTCAAGAGTTTCCTGGAAGTTGGTCGAACCGTCTTTCTTAACTAAACAATTGAAGTGTTCTTTTGCAGACATTGCAAGCGGCTGTCGTTTTCGAGTGGCTGCGGAAAATGCCATAGGTCTCGGACCATTTATCGAATCTAGAGCAGTTTCGATGGATTCACGGCCACAAATCTCTCGCACTGACGGATCAACCCCATCCTTCATATTCACCGAAGGGGATACAGCAGAGTTTAATTTTTCATTCACAGGTACACTTTACCTAAATATAAATTGTGCAGTTACTTAGACGTATTTTTCTTTTCTTCAACTTTAAAATAGGTGAAATCTATGTAATTGTGATCTTTTATCGAAATATTTTGGTGGCTACTAGCTGCTGCCGTAGCTAGCCCCTTAATTGTTGACTTTTACAAACGATTTCAGCAGAGACCCTTTGCCCTTGGTGATTTTGGCAAGGGGATACCCACAGATAGTTTGCCGGTCCTTGTTGTTCATGAAGCTTTGTGATTTCCTACCGGAAACGCAATTTCCGAACCTCGTAGAATTTAGGGCTCGTAGTCTTCCATCAACCATAATGATCTGCATTTCCCAATTGACGAGCACGTGGTACTGGGCGGATCTGAAATTCGACCGTCTAGATCACTTGTATGTGTTCGGTTTCCGGCTAGAAGTGGCTCGACGGGATCTAAACTTGTTAATGGATCGGCTTATGTGTCAACAGAAGTAGCTCTTAAAAGACATTATGAGAAAGACGAGAATAAGGTGTTCCACCTCACCAGCAGATGCCACGCCTGGTGGAAACTGCAAGTGAACAACCGCTTGGTGGGCAATACCGCCCTCACACATTCATACAGTTTTTCTGTGTCGCTAGTGAGACCGATACCGCATTACGTAGTGAAGAAAAGTTCTGAGACTAGTTTGTTTTTAAATGTCCGCAGAAAAAAGAACATGACTTATCCAGCAGGCATTTTTTTTACATGCAGTGATGAAATACTCATCCGAGCACTTCCTCGTATTGTCGAAGATCCTTTGCAATATTCGTTATGTCCGACACACTGCATGTTTAAGGACTGCCTGCTCCAAGCGTGGAATGGACGGATAACACGGGCAAGCTGATTAGCGAGTCTAAAATATATAAGGTAAACAAGCATTTTCATTGCTGACCTCTTCCACTGAAGAACTGTGGAGATGTTCAGATTGAAAGAACCGAGCAAGGAACTAAACTATCTATAAAAAGCGTACGTGTCACCGACTCTGGAGTGTTTAAACTCAAGGTGAAGAACCGTTGTGGAGAAGACAACATCTCAGTTAAAGTACAGGTAGGTTTTGTTGGAAATATGTTGTTATCTGAGCTCCTAATTCTCACTATTTTCTCCTTAGCGGAAATAAAGCTTTCGGTCATGTTTTTCAACTGAGTGGTTTTCAACAACATGTATGTTATGTGGACACTCCATTGCCCAGACTTCTTCGTGTAAGCTAATGCATAGATTCCACTCATTTTGTTCCCATACATTCGTTCTCAATTGATGCCATCAGTTTTGGGACCATTCTCTCTAATGTATCAACTTCTGTTTATGACGAAGCGTCCAAACTGCCAGTATAGTTGGTTAAAGAGTGTGGTAAATCCTTACTCTCCTCACGTCTGCCTATAAGACTACTCTTTCCATATAACGATCCTATTAGTATCTTGTTGTGTTCATTAGGTTGTTATATGAGCTCACACGAGGATGCTAGCAAATCTCTCATCACTATTTCACAATAGGTCTAATAGGTTCCACTAAGTTACGAAAAAGGATTATTTCTCACACGATTCTTTGAATAAGTTTTGGTGAGCGTCATATATCAGAAGACATATTTCAAGAATTCTGTAGGTATTATGTAAAATTCTCTGTGGTTGGAGAACATGCTATCCACAGGGCGACTGTTGACGGACAAACCTCTTAGGACGGCATTCATCTAGATTCTGTTGAAAAGTTCTAGTGGGCGTATGGGGAGGAAATACTCCAGAAGAACCTATATTATTCATTTGCAACTTTACATGTGCCTCACAACAGTCGGTTGGCTTCCAGATTACTAACGTTATTGAGAATCTTCTAACGTTGTTCAATAATCTTAAGGAACTTGTAGAGTACATTAAGAGTGAAGATTACGCTGATGCGAAGATGTCAATCATTTAGCTTTATCACAGGAGAAGTTCTTTAATGGTTTGGGATCTTCTTCTGAAGGGTGCTTCTCATGTGGATTGTTAAATAAATGTAGTTCGTGCCTTCTAACTTAAAATAAGTATTTTATCTGACCCAAAACTGTCCCCTTCTACGTGCTCTTTCTCGCAACTCAACTTCGGAAAAGATAATCCGCAATATTTTTTCCAGTGAAGTTAGTCGGCTCGTAGGCAAGAGGTTGTTAAATAAAAGAACTTGAGAATAAAGAACTCCTTTCCATGAGTGTTTTACCTCTTGGCGAAAAAAAAATGGAGAGGATCTACTCCTCATTCAGAAGATCATACAGTGGAAGCTGTAATAGATTTTCTGCTTGTTTCCAAACGATTCTTCTAGGCATAAAAGTTTCTTCTGATCGCACGAAATCTCCTAGTGTAGAAGTATGTGCGATCGGAACATCAACATTGATGAATGCCGACGGTTTTCGCGTCCTTTTGATCGTTCATTATTCTTCTTGATGAGCAGACACGAGTTTGGTATTACAGCATTTACTAACGCACAATAGACGACGTTTCAGCGGTTTCACCTTTTTCAAAGCCTGGAAAGGCCAAACCGACATACAATCTATTCGGTCACTTTCATAACCCTAGCAGATAAAACTTAATGCATAAATTTTCGTTCGCATAGTAAACGGATTCTTTTAAACATTCACCGTCTTATTCTTTATAAGTATTCCAGTTAATTGGTTAAGACCAGCTACACAGAGCCCTACATAGGCGAGAGATGTGCCTGGCTCAGGTCACGGAATCAGCCACGGGTATGGCGCCAGGTCGCACGTGATCACAAGACACTCGTCGCCGCGATACATTTTTGAATTTGCTTTACAAGAGGACTTTGGTGAAACATGGGGGACGAATATTTTAGTATTCACTATGCGTCCTTATAGAAAAAACAGTTAATCGGTGAATTGTAAATTTAAAGCTAAACCAAGTACTCAATCAGGCCCAAATAGGACACGTAAACACAAAGGAGAAGATTTCGAAATAAAAGTCAATATCCTCGCAAAGGAATCGAAAACATCACCGCGTAAGACTCTTGAAGGGTTTTGGATAAATTCGAAAAGTCCAAAAATGAACCCCAAGGAGGAGTGCCTTGTCATCGTGACCTCGCGCAATACCCCGGGCTGGTTTTTGATCTGACCCAGGCACATTCCTCGCCAATGCATTGCTATATGCGGCTGCTTTCCACCAACCAATTGGAATATTTGCAAAGAATAAAACGGTAAGTGTTTAAAAGAAAGTGTTTATTATCCCAATGCAAATTTCTGTATTAAGTCTTAACTGCTAGGGTTATGAAAGTGTTTGGCTGAGTAGATTGTTATCAACTACGTGTTTGCTCATCAAGAACAACAGTGAATCGTTGATCGAAACCGAGGCTAGAAGAAATCGGTACTAGAATTTGCTTTTGGTCTTTGTCTGTGTTCTTCTCGTCATGATTGTTTTGGCGAAAGATTTCCTCCAAGATGTTTAAGTTAGCATCGTAACCATTTCTTCTCACGCAATGACAGCGGTTAAGAAAAAGTTAAGAATGACCATATCTTTTTTAACGATAAGATAGTTTCGTTGGCTAATTGGCTTGTGCGCACTTATTCTATTCGTTTTATTTCCTTGCTTACTTTTTCTCTACGCAGATATTTTCTTACTGGGTCATGATTTTAAATATCTGAACAAAACAGAACTGAAACACCAGTAATAAAACATCGCTGCTGACGTATTATTGTTTGCTACAAATTAACAGGGTACGTGTGGCTCTGGTCGGAGGCCCCCTTAACTACACATGGGATCGATCCCCGCACGCCTGGTCCACCAAGCCTTCCATCCCTCCGGGGTCTGCAAATTGTAATATACTTGTCTGGGAGAATAACAGCACTGCCTCGATACATCGGTAGGCCACCACGAGTAATTTTAAAGGCCAGATATGCATTCAATCACCTCCAAACGATGCTTAATGAAGTGGAATGCATAGCGCATCACTCAAGAATTGATCAACACCGAGAGCTTTATCCTTTTTATTTCATTATCTTACCCACTTCTTGTTTGCAAGTATTTGCACTAGTAAGAAACCAACAAAGAGTTTATGAGAACATGTTCTCCAGTAGAGAATAGTTCCAGCCTTAGGTCACGATTTTCCAACAAAATTTGTGGAAAAATTTAGTTTTTTGTACTGCGTCATACTGAAGCCTATGATGGTGAACTGATTTTTTATGTGCTGTGTCCAGGTCAGCGGCCGTGCTAGCCCTCCAGGAAAACCGATCGTGAAGGAGCAGACGGATGACTCAGTGGTTTTGTCTTGGACAGCACCAAATTTGGATGGTGGCTTTCCAGTTCGACAATACATGCTTGAAATGTGCACTGTAAGCGTGTTTTCTCAGTCTTCCGAGAGTCAGACCAGATTATGATTTAGATTTCTGTGTACTGCTTATTCTTGCATTTGAATTTGAGTTTTCGTTTGTCTAGACTGTGAACAAGAAATGGAAAGTGGCCGAGAAAACCAAGGAAGCTTCTCTTAAACTGCACAATCTCGTTCCTAAGGAAACTTATATTTTCCGTGTACGGGCAGAAAACGCCTTCGGTCAGTCAGAAGCGTCAGAGGAATCTGAGCCTGTGCTTATAACAGTGAGTTATTTGGCGTAACGTTGATATGATTGCCTGTATGACCATCCATGAACAACGCGAAATTGCATGATTTGTCTTAACGGTAGAGACGGTGATTGTATGAGTTCGGATAAGGTGTACCTGATTTCCTATAAAGCATGAGTGGCGAATACATTAGGAAAACGGATAGAAGACCACTGTGCATTCATAGAGAAGAATACCTAGTCCGTTAATTTAAAGTTGAACCAAATACTCCATTAAAGGCGCATAAGACACTGAGACATAACGGGGAAGATTTTAAAGTAGAAGTTACGATTCTCGCACAGGGATCGTGAACTTCAGAGCCCAAAACCCTTGGAGCTTTCTGAGTAAATTCTATAGATTCGAAAATGCACCGCAAGAAGAAATATCCTGTTATCACATGTGATACCGCACAATATCAAAGACATATTTCAATGTTAGAGAGGCACATAACCCACCCGTGTGAAATCTGTGCGGTTGGTTTCCATGTGAAATACTTAATAGATGACCCGTATAAAGTGGTGATTGTGCGAAGAAGCTATTTTGTTCTCAATGCAGTTGAAATTGTGGTTTCGCGATCTTTTCTGTTTTGGTTATGGAGGTGTTTGAATGGGTAGAATTCGGTCAACTTGACCTTTCCAGGTTCTGAGGAAAGTGGAATCCGCCGAAATGTTAACTTTCTTTTCATGAATAGAAGGTGGCATAACAACTATGTCAAGAGTACAGGGAATTACTTGATCAATGCCGAGGTCAATAGAAAGCCGGTCTTGGGAGTTACTGTGTTATTTTACATTGTCAAGCCTCCATCACTTCGGCATCGACAATTCATACCAGACTTGCTTGGAAGCATAAAAAGAGAGTGAACACTTCCGTAGACCTTCGCTGTCGAGATCATACGTGCACTCATTTACCTCTAGGATGGTTAACGGAAGCTAATTCCTGGTGCATCCGTGGCGGATTCATCAACATTGAAGGCCTTATTTTCTATCCATTATTGATAATAAATCTTACCTGCCTACTTCCAGAACGTGATATTTTCAGATATCTTCCCAAGTTACCGATAAAAAAAAGCACAAGGTTGACGAAGAGAAAGACCTTAAAGCGATTGATCAACTAGATGCTAAAATCGACCAAATTGACCGGAAAACAGCTGGTGTCCAGAAAACTACAAATGATTTCGAAGCTAAGGTACGACTTTTGTGCTTCTAATAGATGCTGCTAATCTTTTTGCTCTCTAATGTCAGTGGATTTTTCAGTACACAATCTGTGAAGAGCTAGGACAGGGTTCCTACGGTACCGTATATCGAGCCATAGAAAAAGCTACTGGAAAGACATGGGCCGCTAAGATGGTTCAGGTAAGATACGTTGCAAGAGATTAGTGTTTTTAATTTTGATTAAATCAGATAGAACGTAGAATCAGTTTATAGAGAGTTTGGATTCATTATCAGGTACGCCCTGGCGTGAAACGGGAAGATGTTCTTCATGAGATTTCGGTGATGAGCCAACTTCATCATGATAAATTGCTTGAACTGCACGAATCGTTCGACCTTGGGGACGAAATATGTCTAATAGTAGAATTGTGAGTTTACAGTGGAAAGAAAACGCTGGAGAATCTTATTAAAGAGAACAGTGTAAAACAAAACTGTGAAGAAAGAAATAGAAGAACTAAAGGACAACAAAAACGATCCCGATTTTCTTGACTAGAGTACTTGTAGCGTATCTGGAGGAGAACTATTCGATAAGATCATGGAAAGTGGTTCGCTCATAACAGAGGAAGAAGCAAAAAATTATATACACCAGATTCTTCTCGGTATTGAACACATGCACAGCAACCAGTTTGTGCACCTGGACATCAAGGTAATATTTAATTTTATGAAACTATCAACTCAATTAGGCCAGTCGTTTTCATCCTGTTGAGAAATGCTTTCATACAAGTTTCTTCGAAAGCACCCATTATTTCAGCCAGAAAACATTCTGCTGAAATCGAAAGATTCCACAGATGTCAAGATTGTTGACTTCGGATTAGCACGACGATTGGATCCCACTAAAACCGTTAGACTTCTTTTTGGAACGCCAGAGTTCTGCGCACCCGAAGTCGTCAATCGCGAACCCGTTGGACTTAGTACTGACATGTGGACAGTAGGGGTGATCACCTACATGCTGTGAGTTTCGTTTTTAGTTATTCACTTTCTGAATTACTTACAGGTATACGAATTGATTATTCGACAAAGATCTCTACGAGGGTGCTGCAAATCTCATGATTCTATAGATTTTAGAAACATGTAGATTTGCACAAAAACATGCAGTACATCGGTGGAAGAGGGCACGTGTAGCAGAGTGGTTAGACGTGCTCTTCAGTGCACATGGGTTTGATGCAACGCTTCGGGCTCACCAAACCTTCCGTCCTACAGAGGTCGGCAAATTGGTACGAAACCTGTTTGGGAGAATAGCAGCACTTGCTCGATACAGTGGTAGGCCTAAGCGAGTTACTTTGTGGGGCAGATCTGCATTCAATCACTTTTAACAATGCTAAGTGGAGTCGAATGCATGGCGCATCCCTCAGGGATTGATCAACACCGAGAGATTTGTCCTTTTCTCCTTTTATATCTATCTGCAGAGGCTTAATCCACTGCGAGGATGTGTCCTGGTACCTGCGTTGTTAACTGTTTTGGCAATATTGGAATAGATCTCTTTGCCACCTCAAGCATTTTTATTCGCTCTTTGTACTTTGGTAGATTCCTTCGGTCCATTTAATGAGTGTCAATGAAAACGACTTTCGTCGTTTTCATTGTCTTCTTAAGAAATCTTTGCGCTCCTTCGATAGATATCTAGTTGTTTACCTGATATTTTACTATTCACATACGATGGGTACAAGCCAACTATTGCTTTTTACAATTTCAATTTTTGAAATGCGGCAAGTGGCGCGAAAAATTTTATGCATTCTTTGATAAAATTGCTGATGATAGTGCCATCTCGTGGAACTATAAGTGATACGAACTAACATGGTTATGTAACAAATCGGCCACACAGCTTCATCCACGGCTTGCATTGTTTTGTATCATAAGAGATTGGTTTAGGGAAAATTGTTATCGGATCCTAAGTAAATTTGCTGTAATTAAACCCACTGACTGATTACCTATTTAAACCAACAGTGAGTAGCTATCAGAACTAATTCTCGACATTTCATCCGGGAAAGCAACTAAGAGTAAGACTGTGCTAGGCTGTATACGCCTATTCCAGAAGAATAGTAGTCTTAAAATGCAAATCGAAATCCATAAAGTTGGTGGTCTCCCATGCTATTAATCCCACTGGTGCTTGTTTCTTACAAATTCCTAGAAAACTACAAATCACCGAATTCGGTCTTTTTTTCGAGGTAGTTTGGAAAGGTATTTTGTTCCATTGTTGTATAAATAAAGTTGAATAACACTGCATGCTTTTTAGTTGTTAAAAAGTTATTGATCTAAGACGTAATCTTTGTTAAGAAAAGGTGTAAGTGTCTTATACTCGAGAAATTTCTATGATTCACTTGCAACCGTTAAATTTTGAGCGAAAGAAAAAGGAAGACCGTTCTGATCTTTACAAAGCTCTTAGTATTCAGAATCGAAATTTTTTTGATCTTATTCAGCTTGTCTGGCCTGTCACCATTTATCGGCGATTCTGACGAGGAAACTCTAGCGAATGTGTCAGCAGCAGACTGGAACTTCGAGGATGCTTCGTGGAACGACGTATCTGATGCAGCCAAGGTAAATTTTGTTGCCCAATATATTCATACCATGTATCATCACTTCGCTTTTGCAGCATAAACTTCTAGGAATTTTCCATAGAAATTTTCATTTTTTATAGAACAATTTCCACTTCTTATAAAACAATTTCAGGACTTTATTTGTCGTTTGATGGCTAAGGATAAACGTCGACGGATGACAGTTCAGCAGGCGCTCAAACATCCATGGATTACGGTAGGATCTAAATTTTGCGTTTACTTGCAATTTTATTCTTTGCATTTCTAACTCTCACCAAAGATCAATACGGTAAGTATAACTAATGAATGCTATGCCTATACTGTGTAAGCCTTGTTTTATTCAAAAAGATTACTAAAAAAGAACTTTTTAGAAAACACAGCCGCCTCTTAATCGTGGAGAGTTGACTTCATTGCAAAAGAAGAAGTTCATGATGATGAAGCGATGGTCAGACGACATGTTGCCGATAGGTCGCCTAGCAAAGCGTGGTGCCATTTTCCGTCGCCAGTCTATGGATGGTGTATTCGAGAGAAATATCAGCTTCGGTTTGTAACTTTGAACTCATAGCATTTTTAGATTACGAAGGCGTCCGATATATGGAACTGATACATATGGTATTTAACAAATTATGCAGAATATGAATGCTTTTCATAAAAGAAACTGGTCGGTTTTATGGTTCAATTGTTAGGAATCTCTGTCTTTGACATATTAGATCACAACATATCAAAAATCACCTTTCCTAGCAGGTTACTCCATTGTTTTTAAATCAGTTTATCACTTCAGTTTTTCAAAATATAGCATTCTGAAAGATTTCATGGGAATTTCTCAAATCGTTTTGAATGTAAATATTAGTCAACGAAACTCTTTCTATAGTTTTAGCGAGGTGTTTAAGCGTTTATGATGATATTAGTTTGCTTTCGATGTTTAACGATTAGGGAGCTAAGGTCCTTTCACCATTTATTACATACGTATTGGTTAGGCACTTCCGACTTGACTCATTTAATGGGATATATCTTGTACTACTTTGCACTTTTAACCCGTACTTTGTTTGTTATTGAAATTCACCCTTCCTGTAGTGAAGTACGCAGAACTTGTTATCATTTTGTAATTTAGACAACGATTGTCCTCCGACGGTGAAGAAGCGGCTCGAGGACATTGTCGCTCATGTGGGTGATTTGATCGCTACCCTGAATTGTGAGATAGACGGCACTCCACCGCCAGTTGTTAGCTGGCTAAAGGATAATAAGGAGCTGAATGTACCGTCTTTAAAATATGATTCGCTATTTGCGGACGGATCGGCGCAATTAACGGTGAAGAACATAGAAATCACTGATTCTGGAAGATATAGTTGTCACGCCACAAACGAACTCGGTTACGTAACTAGCGAAGCGAGCATGATAGTGGAAGCAAAGCCGAAGATGGCGATAGCTGAGTTGCGCAAGAAAAAGCCATTAAAGGTATGTTTTCTTCTTCATGAAGTTGAAAGACTTTTTTCTCTCCGGTTTCTTTTGAATGGTAAGGGGAAGGTCTAATTAAATAAGAGAAAATCCATCTTTGAACATTAATCTGTTCACTTATGAAGTGGCAGAAAGCTAATGGGGGTTTAGTCTTAAGTGTACGGAAAGTAGTTGTTCGTGGAAGAACCAAGGAATTTTTATAAGAAGTTTCAAGTGTATTCCAAGGATTTTGGGGCAATTCTTAACAGCAGAAAGCATAAAACCAATCGTTACAAACTTCTGCTACTATGTTTTCTATTTCTTATTGATTACGAGGAGCTGGCATTGATATCGTGAACGATTCGCACTTTAGGCACCAGCTGATGAAGCGAAAGAGGGTGGTTCTGCACCATCGTTCGTCGGTAGCTTGTCAGACTGTTCAGTCAGAGTTGGAGAGGAGTTGACTCTGTCGGTTACCAGCAATGTTTCTGACCTTATAGTCGAGTGGTATCACAATGGGCAGCAAATTAAAGAGATTGACGAACATTTCGTCCAGATACACAACAAAGATCGCCACGGAGTTACTATGAAGAATGTTGATTTGTCTGATCAGGGTATGTGCGATCTCATTCATAAGCCAATGCATAGTAGGACGTTCTTTGAACGTTCCAACCATGAAGAGACCTTCAAACGTCTTTCTATACTAAACTTTCTTTGATATAAAGATGTTCGAAACCTTTAAGGTGAGTGGAAGGCAATCGGCAAAAACGCATTCGGTCTATGCGAGAGTTCGTGCAAATTGTTGATAGAAGTACCACGTAATTACGTGGCTCCGGTTTTCGAACGCCAGTTAGAAGATATTCTTTGCGACGAAACGGAACTGCTGACACTCAGTGCTAAGATTATTGCTAATCCACCACCTGAAATTAGCTGGTAAGTAGAGAATGAACGTGAGAGCATTATTAGCTCAGGATATAAGTGCTTGTTTGATGAGATCTCTTCTTTTTTCCAATTCAAACCGTTTAGTGGTGCTTATATCATATGTTTTATCATCAAAATTTTTATCAAAATTATCAAAATATTATCATGAACTATCAAAATATTTTACCATGAACTACTACACTAGAGGAAGTTCTATATCAAGTGCGGTATTAAGAAAGTGTAAAACCACATACTATACATACTATGAAAAGGGTGCTTCATTTCGCATAAAACGCGCTTCTAGACTGCTAAGTAGAACAGTTATCTTCTTATAGGTACCGTGATGATCACGAAATCCAACATTCTGCCAATAATCGCTTACAGTTCGACGACGAAACCTTAGAATATTCGCTGACCATCGTGAAGGCGTACGCCGAGGATAGCGGCGAGTACAAGTGAGTACTCAGAAATGCGTCTTGTATGTAAATATGTAACATAGTAGAATCGACAGAGTTCGTGAAGAAAATCCACCTGTTCGCGAAAGAAGAAACGTTAAGAAAAGTGAGACACTTTTAAAAGAAGACGGTTAGGTTTCTAAAAGGTTGGAAATGTTGGACTCCCCTAATGTTAAAATTTCGCCTTGTTTTTATAAATCGACTGTACTCTTTCGTAGATGTGATCATGTTGGCACACAATTTCTCCTTTATTGCCGTGGAATTCTTACAGATGCATTGCTCGAAATTCAATTGGTAAAGCTGAAAGTGTGTGCAACGTTCGAATTGAAGAACCAGAAGACAATCGAACAATGAAAATCGACGAATCTAAAGCTCCGAAATTCAGTATGCATTTGGCGGACTCGCGTGAGGTAAGTACTACTACATAAGAGAGGGAGAAATGATTGTTTTTTCTCCTCGACGTTTTTGAAACTCGAAACGCTTAAAACTCTGAAAGACTAACCATAATATGTGAAATTAATTATGAATAATCTTTCGACCTTAACCTTTGTGGCACCAGATGTTTAATCTTATGCCTTAAGGCACCAGAAGGCTCTGAGCTAATTCTTACGTGCATTGTTAATGGCAGTCCTCATCCATCAATCACATGGTTAAAGGATGGGAAGAGGTAAGATGTATACCAGTAAGTTATTGGAAACTTTAGAAAATTCGTGACGTTAACTAAGTATGAGAAGCTTTTGGATTTAGTAGTGGAACAACGCCATCGGTAGAGGCGAACATCGCAGGAAATGCTTGCTAGAATACATCAAGTGAAACAGCTAACACTCAGAAATTACTGTTTCTTTTTCTGAAAATCATAAATTTAGCTCCTGTTTTTCTGTCCACTGTTGAGAATGCTTTCCGTATCTTAAGAATTCACCAACTGGTAAAGTTCATATCACCCGCCTATATGTAGGTTATCGTTGGCCGGAAAGGACGCCATTTACGAAAACGGTGTCTGCACACTGACCATCATAGCCGCCACTACCGATGATATTGGTGTGTACATTTGCAAAGCGGAAAACATTCACGGCACTGCTCAATCAACATGTACTGTCAACATCACTAGTAAGTTCCATGGAGTAAATCAAAACTTTGAGGCTAAAAACTAGTTGGTAATCATTGTGCTGAAGCACCACCCAGGTTGTGAGTTCTTGGTTCTGTGTCGGTGGAGAAAGGTGACCTACTGTACTGTCTAATCAGTCTGTACCAACCTTTTCTGCAAATTTCTTCTCTTAGTTGGGTCTACATGCAGTATTTACATTTGATCAGACCTTGTTCTTATAATTCTTAAGCACTTGCTTTTTTAAAATCAAACTTACAATTGATTTGAAGTGTGTAACTAAAGAAATTTTATTTAGCTGATATGGAAAGTGATCAATCAGCTCCGAAATTTGTGGAACTGTTGACGGATCAAAGTTTTTATGAAGAGGAAGAAATCCTTCTCGAATGCCGCTTCACTGCTAAGCCAACACCAGCTGTTTCCTGGTAACTTCAAATATCAACATTATGTGTTTAAGGTGTTGTTTATCTACTTCAGCAATGGTGTTTGAATGTTTTATAGGAAACAAGCCAGAGAAGAGGAAAAAAACTGAAGGATTTTGTTGCTAATTTATGCTGACCTGAAAAATCACTTAGATGAACCCGAACAGTTCCAAGTAACTTTTTCCAAAGACAGGTGCAAAAACAATGGCTGATCTTTATTTTAAACAAACATAGAGTGCAGCTCGGTGTCATCAAGCGTACTCTGCTGATTCGATAATGTGAGGGTTCCAGATTCCCAAATCACTGAGTGACAAACGTCTCCTTTGCTTGCAAACTATGTCCACTCAAATAGCTCCTATTCCTGCAGACCTTACAGAATTCTAACGTTGTCGTTAAAAATTGGGCAAGATTAGATTTGTTGACATGTCCTCACCAACAAAAAGAAGTACCGAGGTTTATCTACTGTATTGAGTAAGGATGACGTAACTTGTTTAAGGTATCAATCAATTACCACAGAGATTTTTAGGTACAAAGATGGTCGGAAATTGGTTGTTGAGAACCGAATGCTTCAGTACACAGACAGGAAAGGTGTGGCGAGATTGAACATCATGAATAGCACACCAGCGGATTCTGGCGAATATTCATGCGAGGCGGTTAATATGCTTGGAAAAGCCATAACTGAATGCCGTATAAAAATCATAGGTTTGTTCGTAAATACCCGGAATTCTGCTCCGGAACTCTTCAAAAATCGCATTTTTAACGCACAATGGAGCGCGTGTGGCTCTGTGGTCGGAGGCGTCCTACAACACCCACATGGCATCGATTCCCGCGCTCCTGGCCCACCAAGGTCTCCATCCATCCATGGTTGGCAAATTGGTACCAAACTTTTCTGGGAGGAAAATAGCACTGGCTCGATACATCGGTGGGCTACCGCGAGTCATTGTAAAAGCTGTATGTGCATTCAGTCACTTCAGAACGATGAGATTAATATATCTTGAGAAAAGAGGACTCGGTTTCTGTGAATGTGGAACCCCAAAAAAATAAAGCTTGCTCTAATAATTCGATGGTTAACACTTACGCGACGATGTGACTAGGAATCATTTGATAGAGGAGAGCGTGGCCAGTATTACCTCCATAGAGGTCACTTTGTTGTTAGTAGTTTATTTTGGAGTAAGGACTCTTTTTGTGAATTTCTTGTAATCAACTGACTTTTCATTCAAAATAGAAGTTTGTTGCGGGCGTCGGCCAAAGAAACCCATATTCTGTCCTTGGAAATATACGAAAACCTTCTCTCGAACGAACCCATTGGCCGGTAATTTGACTAACAATTGACTGCCATTACAATTCTGATTGCTGTAATGAGTAATAGTAGTCCTATAGAATGGGACCGTATAAAAATACTGAAATAGACTCAAGCAGCAAAATACTTCCACAAGCTGACACCAATAGGTTTTTGAAGCAAACTGTAGTAAAAAGCGCTGAAAGCTCTCGGTGTTGATCAATCCCTGAGGGTTTCGCCAAGCATTCGACTTCATTAAGCATCGATGGAGGTGGTTGAATGCATATCTAACTTTTACAATGACTCGCGGTGACCTACCGATGTATGGTGCCTGTGCTGCTATCTTCTCAGACAATTCTGGTACCAATTTGTCCACCCAGTGGGTATGGGGGGCTTAGTGAGCCTTGGGCGCCAGAATCGATCCCGCGTGTTCTCATAGCGCCTCCGACCGTTGCTCCACACACGCCCCTTAGACCGTAGTAACATATAGTAAATAGTAACACACATACCATTCAAATCCAGATAGAGTGGAGCGTTTTCTATAGTTCTAAGATGTACTCAACATGTTGAGCCTTCGGTTGTCAAAATATGGTCAAAAGTCAAGAAGCCGTAAATAGACTGGTCAGTAAATCTATCAAGTTACACGTCGTCCACTGCACCAGTCAAATAGAACTAGCCGTTGTAGCGTAAGTGTTAACGAGGGTGTAGTGAGCTACAATGGGAATGGCAATAAAATAAAATTTCTCTTAAAAGGCATAGATTTGAGGAAATCACTTGTGTTACAGTGGTTGATGAGTGTTCGTATTCAGGAGAAACAGCTGAATCTGAGTCGCAAAGTGTGTGTCGCAGTGTTAGTCCGTTGCACTACGACGCTGATGCCCGCGCTCCAGAGATAATTCGTCCACTCTTGGACGCAACTGTTAAAGCTGGTCAGCTGTTTTGAATTATTCAACTGTAAATTTGAGACATTTGGAAAGACTAGGATTTGTGAAAGAACGTTCTTATTGAGTGCCATTCTGTATAGAAAAGCTCATAGGAAAATATACCAAATGATTACTCTTTTTTATAAAATTGTCAAGAACTATTATATTAATAAAGACAATGCAGGTTCTTTAAACTACGCCCAGTTTTTCTCTTTGCCCAACTTTTCCTCATCGGTATTCAGGTATAGAGATCCTAGTATTTAGTATAAAAAGACTGAAAGTACTGCGGAAATGTTGTCGACATTACTGGAGGAAAAAATTTAACATCGCATATTCCTTAGGAAGTCGAGGAGCTCTTGAACTGGAGGTTGATGGAATGCCCACACCGATGATCGAGTGGTTCCACGATGGAACACTTGTGTCGGAAAGCCGAACGCTTCGAACATCCTATAACGGCAGGGTGGCTGTCCTCAAGATCTATGAAGCTCAAGCAGAACATCATGGACAATACATCTGCAAGGTTTGCGGCAAGCTCAAAATCGCTTTTGAATCTGGCCAGTTAGAGTTTTAGACGATGTTGCTATTTTGCGATGTTTACGTTCAGGTCTCGAACAAACTTGGAGTTGTCGAGTCTCGAGCTATGCTTGTAGTTCAGCAGGAATCCATGGAATGCATGTCGAACGTGCCTGTATTCATTAAAAAACTTCAGGATATTACGGCCAAGAAGGTGATTTTTATACCATGATCCTAATTCCCATGAGTGAGGTTAAAATCTTTTAATAATTGAGATATATGATAGTGAATTACCTTCGTTGTTGTTGAAGTGTAACAGCATTATTGATCAGGTTGGCTTCAATTCTAACCAGTTTTTTGATGCAGGCCGGTGAATCGCTCTCATTGAGCTGTCAAGTTCGTGGTGACCCGTTCCCGTTACTCCACTGGTTGCATAACGGGCGGTCTATCGACAATAATCCAGTTTACCGTAGGCGAGCGTTCGACGACGGTATTGCGACTCTTGAAATAAGCTCAATTTCTGAAGAACTCTGCGGTGCATATACCATCACCGCGTCGAACCCACACGGTGATGCTCATTCATCGGCATTGGTTCATTTTCTCAAAGAAGAGGTAATTTAACAGATTGTGAACATGTCAATATTTTGACTTAATAAAATGTCCAAGAAATTTTTTCACTAAACGGTTAGGAAAAGTGCAATCGACGCAATGACTGAAATGCATAGGATCTGCTTACTATACGAAAAGGCGAAACCGAAAAGCAAGTCCAGACATCTCATTACATATAAAACTATATAAAACTACTAAATTTGATTAACGATTATTACAAAGATTCCATTAGAAATAGATCAGACTATATTTCAGAATTTAACAAAGTCAAAATTGATATAGCAGTGCAAAACATTTTTTTGCAGGGCACCTCTACATGTCCGCCATCGTTTGTGGTCGAACCGAAATCAAAAATCGTTGTCTCGAAATCCTCTCCGTTAACTATCGTTTGCGATATTAATGGAACTCCATCAATGAAAGTTACCTGGTTGAAAGATCAACGTCAGCTAAAGATTACGGATCGAATTCGTGTGGAGCACGACAGTCTAACCTACAGCCTTATTGTTCTCGATACCACAGTCGATGATGAAGGCGTTTACACTGTTAGAGCAGAAGATGAATATGGTAAGATTGAGGCACACAGCCAAGTCGTAATTAGGGAGGAGGAAACGGCAATCACCAAAACATCAGTGAAAATCGTAAAAGGACCTCCAGGTGCTTTGGAAGGAAAACTACAAGTGGAGAACTATTCTACAGATTCCGTCTCTTTATATTGGAATACCTCCACGGACGCAAGCGAATATTTAGTTGGACAACGTACTCCAGATCAGCAGAACTGGACTGAGGTAGCTACTACAACTCGACCTAAATGCCTCGTCAGTAATCTTCAGCCAAACACTGAGTACTTATTCAGCGTTATTCCTAAGAATGCTTATGGATGTAGTGAACGAAGTTCTGTTGTCCTGATAAAGACGAAGCCAACCGGATTTAAACCACATTTTACAGAAGTTCCGCCGTCGTCGCTCACCGTAATGAATGGACATCTTTTAGAAATTGCTGCGAAATTTGACGGCTTGCCAGTTCCAGTAGTTAAGTGGTACAAAAACAACAAAGAAATATTAGAATCCGAGGGCAAAATTATGATCGATAAAAACACTACCACTCTGAGTGTCCCTGGAGCCCGTTACGGTGAAGATGATGCTGTCTATCGTTGTCATATAGAAAACGAGTTGGGGCAGATTTCGGCTGAAACTACAGTTATAATCGTGGTCGACAAAGAAGAAATCATGGAAGTCGACTCCACAAGTGATAGCAGTGATTGTATTATTGCTGGTAGTGGAACACCTTTTGTAGCTAAACCACTGACTAACGTAACAGTTCAGTCTGAACAGCAATTCACGCTTAGCTGCAAGATCACAGCTAACGATTGTACAGTCGCTTGGTATCGCAACGATGAGCGCATAATATCCACTGGTCGACACGAGATTTTCAGTTCATCGAACGGTTTCCAAAAACTTGTATGTCACATCAGCTCTCTTGAGGACTCTGGGACTTATCGTTGTATCGTAACCAATGAGAAGGGAATCGCTCAGAGCAAATGCGAAGTGATCGTCAAGGACGTATGTGATCAGGTCGCTCCTGTTTTCGAACGTGAACTCGTAGATATCACCGCATTAATTGGAAAGAGCGTAGTACTCAGTTGCCGAGCTATTGGTCAGCCTGAGCCTGCACTATCCTGGACCAAAGACGGAGACCGAATTGCAACTAGCCGGAGAGTAAAGCTGATGTTTGATGAGCATGGCGTATCAGAGCTGAGAATCCGTGATTTGACTGCTCAGGACGCAGGAATTTACTTTTGTACAGCGACCAATTCTGCTGGAGTACAGTCCTCACAGTGTACTCTTACTGTGGTTGAGATTTCTGGAAAGGATAGTCATTTGATACTAGCTGAAGAGGCTAAGGCTGTTAAACCACGATTTATTCGAGCACCACCATCTACTATAGACGCGCAAGAGGGTGGGCAATTCAAACTGATTGCTAAGGTGATGTCATTGCTATTTCCCTCTCATTGATAAAAAAGAAGCCTTTCTTTTCTTTCTTAATGGTAAACGCTTGTCGTATTTATTGTTCGAAGTAATCTTGTTTCGCTAAGGCTGAAGATTATCATTGCTTACTTATTTGGATGCTTGGATGGCCTTTCCTCACTGGGTTGTGCTGACTCCAGCGAAATTTTTATTGTTTCAGGGTTTTTCTGGTTTAGCCATTGTGGTTCCCTAGAGTTTCGAGATCGGTCAGGCCAAAGTTTGCCCCAGGGCGTCACCACCACAGGCAGTCGTGGCCGTTGTGGGTCAGAGGGAGATTTGCCACCGTGCGACTAGCTTGATACCAGGACAGTGATGGATCCTAGTATTCGTTTACTCTCAGCTGGATTTCCTGATGGAAACGCCGGACTTCTTCGTAGCGTGGAAGACCCTGCTGGGGAGATGAATCCCCCGTTGTAGATCGCAGCCCAACACCCAGGAACACCTCCCAGCCATGATGAGGCGGTAAATCGTTGGGTGGGGAGATTGTCATTGTTGACATAAGTTTTATTAAACAAGTCAAATAAATAGTGTGGCTTTCGTAAAGTAGTTTATTAAATTTTTTGCATATATCTATATTTTCACGCAAAACTATCTTTATAAATCTTTTGTGAAAACGTAGAATGAAGATGAGTTGCTGAAAGTAGTGTTCTGCAGGCTGTTGGTGATCCGAGACCAATCATTACATGGAAAAAAGACGGGCGAGAAGTACAACGCACTAACCGTCTCTATAAAACCTATGTAACCGGCGATGGCGAAAGCCACCTACTGGTTGAATGTGTCGTCTCAAAAACTAACGGTATTTTTAGCTGTATTGCACATAATGTGCACGGAGAAACCGAGACTGAGACCCAAGTGATTGTCCGTGAGTTTATCATAAATTATTTGGTATAATAATGTAGACGTGTTGGGAATAATTTTGGAAAAGAGTACTTCAATGCAATTTTAACAGCTCAGGTTCGCCGTATTGCGATACATGTAAGGATGTTAAGAGTATAAAATTAGACAGTATTGTCAAAGGAAAGTAATAAAAAAAAGTTCAATCAACATCAAATTGACCTGATTATCCAGATCGGAACCGCCTTAGGCCTTTATACGAGTGTCTCTGTCGCCGCAACAAGTGCTCACCTCCAGCTTCTCCACCTGTGTTATTGGGTATGGACACCATGAACGATAATGCGCATTGTCGTCGAGGAGAGGGGACCCAATCTCTGAAACTCACGAAGGTCGAGAATAGTCCCTCATTGTCGAAGACGATGGGTTCTCACATCAGTTGAAATACTATGCCATTCCGACTATGTGTGAGCTATTGTCGCAGAGTATTGAGCCAAGTTATTGAATGTGTGCGATTCCAATTACTGCTACTTCTTCCGCAGTAGAAGGAGTCCATGTATGGATCTCTGAGCGTCGTCGAAAACTGGGTATTCTACCACATTCTACACGCCGTCTGCCGTTAGAAGATCAACACATAGTTGCGGTGGCTCTGGGAGGACATGCGGTCCTTACCTGAATATTTTAGTCCTCAAGTGTTTGACCAATACGCTGACTACGATACAGGTCTAAACAAGTCTGTCTTCAAAAAAAAAAAAGTAGAAATATGGCATTAGTTTCCAACCAATGCAGCGAATTATTCATCATATATCTGCTCACTATTACATTTACTAGTTCCCTGAGTGATCGATGGTGCCATTGCGAAAACGCCAGAAAAATTTGTGTTATCCTGGCAAAACAGTTTTTGTGACTACTAAGCGAATAGTTCTGCTTGTAGATAAAGGCCTCACCGCAACTCCGGCTGCTGAAAAACCAAATTTCTCACAACATCTGAAAGACCTGGGAGTGGTGACTGGGCATCCAGTTACGCTTACTTGTAAAGTGAGTTGTACATCGCGAGCCAACTAATCACTTTATAAAGTCTGCCACTTTATAGCGAATTTCGAAGAACGAGCCACTGTTTTTCGATTATTAGCAAGTCGAAAGAAAATCATGAAAATCTTATTGACTATTCAAGAGAATTCTAAAAATTACGGTGATTCTAAATATGGACGTGTGCGGTTCAATCAGACTACTGAAGTTTCAGAACTATCATAATTATTTTAGTTATCTTAAGTTATTTGATACGCGATGTTTTCACTCTTCTCAGGTTCGTGGTATACCAGAGCCGGAATTAAAATGGTACTACATCGACGACGTCGGTAACGTCACGTGCTTAACCGACGACGAACACGGATGGATTGAATGCAGAGGCGGAGAGGTAGCGATTACTAAAATGCTCCTGCTCCTCATACTTTTACTTTGATCCATTAAACATAACTGTTTACAGTTCCAAAATATTCAGGTCGCGGAGCTTAAAGCAGACTGTGTACTGAGGAATCAGCAAGGTACATATAAATGCGTGGCCACCAACAAACATGGTCAAGCAAGCTCCCAGTGTTATCTTCTTGTTGGTGGTGAGTATAAATGGCTATTTCAACCTCTTCACTTGGTACTTGAATCGTGCGTCCTCGGAGTCTGACACAACTTTTTGTTTTATTGAAGTTATAACGTTTGGCAGATTTTCCCGACATTCCTAAAGGCTGTACTAGTGCGCACTTCGGTTCGTCACAGATGGCCATTCACACTTCTGGAGCGAGAGACAGACTTTCAGCTGTCTTCGAAGAGCTTTCGGTACAATCGATCTTACAACTTGAAGGAAGGGAAAACTTCCCACTCTCCGTTTTAAGAGTTGAAGAATAGTCTCTGTCAAATATCCACTATCGTCCCAATGTTAAAATATCTTCTTTTTTTCACCATAATCGGTTGTTCTCTTCAGAATTTTAATATTGCGCAAGAAAGCAACATACGAGCTGTGTTTACAGAGCTGAAAGACGAACCAGCTGGTCCTCCTCGATTCCTTCGTTGTCTTCGTGATATCTGGACACCGTTGGGTGAAGAAGTGGTGTTTGAAGTGGAAGTAGTCGGCTATCCAGCTCCAGATCTTGTTTGGTACCACCAAGATAAACGTATCGTTGAAGGAAAAAGTGTTAAGGTGCGATAGATGACGACCATTTTCTGCTTTTATTGCTTTGTTATGACTTTTCTTTAATAGAATTTTTTAAAAGTAAGTAACAAGTTTTTGGATTGTCAAAGATTCTGAATTCAAAATGTTAAGTGTGTGACAGCAAAAAAAAGTGAACGATAAAGACAACTACAAACAAAAACTGCTGCTCACAACTACTTTTTGCGCCGAATAAAAATCTGTACTTCCTGAAGAGCTGCTGTAATTTTATCTGTTCAGATCAACTACATTTCGGAGACATTTTGTGAGCTGCGAGTTTCGCAAGTCTCACTTCGTGACCTTGGCAACTACACTGTCGAAGCCTCGAACGTTCACGGACTTGTACGAACCACTTGCTTTTTGAACGTTGGAGACCCACGTCGTTCAGAACCTCCACAGTTCCAACTAGTTGATGCGCCTGGAATCGCTGTTCAACCTAAGGTCGCCTTCCGTGAGCAGGTAGGGAAGTACAAACATTATCTCTAAACTCACTATCACAAATTCATAAGAAAGCGTTTAGTTTTTATACATCTCCTTTGTGTTTTTTAAGCTGTAGAAATTAAGGGGCAGCAGATGCTTAAGTTGACCAGACGTCTAGTAGTGGTCCGTTTGATTATTAGAGGTGTTGTGATTACATACTTTAGCGAATTTTGAATGAAGATTGGCTACCCTTGTTCGAACATTTATTCTGTAGGCTTTTGAATTTTCCTTGACTATAGGTCAAGAAGCCAGCAACAACCGTTCGTGCGGAGAAGCGCAGGAAAGGAGCGCCTCCTGTTTTCGTACAAGGACTTGAAGACATGGAACTTGAAGCAGGCTCTTCTGCAGCAGTGGCTGGAAAACTAGCACGCAGTAAGTTCGTCTTTTCGAATCATTCAGCACGTCTAGTACGCCAACGCTAACATATAGAAGAGATTTCGCGCAGTCGATTTAAGAAAATAATTATATTATTGTAATGTTTAACGTTTTGTTTTCTGCCTTCTATAATTTTCATGGCAGGTTACTAAGTAAGCGAAATACAACCACAACGTTGCTGAGATATTTGCAAAACTCTGGACCGCAGGTGTCTATGGTGGGGAACGAACGCGCTATTGTCCTTTCCGGGGAGTAACGCGTTCACCACCACACCATGCGGGTCCTTTGTTTCGCACGTCTCTCAGCTATTTCTATCGATCTTTTTTATCGATATCGATACTATATTATTATAGTATTTTTACATGGTTAATGGAAACTATTAATACGATAAGCAAATCTCGATTTTTAAGGTAAATACAGAAGCCAAAGATATTGACGAAGCACCTTGTCGGATGAAATTCCGCTTTTTTAATCGTGTGGTTCCTTGTAATAAGTGTCTTGATAAAAGGAAGCGAAAAAAATTAGTGACCTCCAGGCATTAAGAATTTAGTCTCAGTAGAGTGACAAGGGTTTTGTCTTATTTCTAGTGATCCAAATATTCCAAGGATTCCTTTCAGATTCAATCAAGTTTACTATAAGAAGGAATATATTTGTCT